CGAGGTTGCGGTGCTCAGAGCCCTCTGTGCCCGCAGCTCCCGGGCCGCGCCTGGTGCTGCAGGAGGCCAAGGTGCGGCTCATCGACGTCCAGCTGTGCAACAGCAGCCGCTGGTACGGGGGGGCCGTGCACCCCCAGGACCTGTGCGCGGGGTACCCGCGGGGCGGCATCGACACCTGCCAGGTGCGGGCGTGGGGCCGGGGACCCCCTGGGACCCCTCAGAGCCAGCCCAGGGACCCCTGGAACCCCTCAGAGCCAGCCCAGGGACCCCCTGGGACCCCTCAGAGCCAGCCCAGGGACCCCTGGGACCCCTCAGACCGAGCCCAGGGACCCCCTGGGACCCCTCAGAGCCAGCCCAGGGATCCTCTCAAACCCCTCACATCCATCCCTGGGACCCCTGGGACCCCTCAGATCCATCCCAGGGACCCCCTGAGACCCCTCACATCCATCCCAGGGACCCCCTGAGACCCCTCAGAGCCAGCCCAGGGACCCCGTGGAACTCCTCAGAGCCAGCCCAGGGACCCCATGATCCCAAATAGGATCCCCTGGAACCCCTCAGAGCCAGCCCAGGGACCCCTGACCCCAAACAGGACCTGGCCCCGCCTGGCCCTAGCCCGGTCCCCTCCCAGCCCCGAGGTCCCACCACTGCCGGCTGTCCCTGCCCCATCCGTGTGTCCCTGCCTGTTGTCCCCTTGTCCCCAAGGCCTGGCACTGCACCCCCGCAGCCCAGCCAGCGCTGCCGGCAGCCCCAGGTGTGGAGATCCTGGAATTTCCCTTCCCTGGCCAGCCCTGGATGAGCCCAGCCCGAGCCAGCCCCATCCTGCTCCAGGCTGGAGCCTCCAGAGCGGAGCCTTTCCATGGGAATCGCGCCGGGAATGCGGCTCTGGAAGGGCTTGGGATGGGAAGGGCCAGGCCCAGGGCTGGCAGCAGCCCCTGACCCCTCTCTCCTGGCGCAGGGGGACATCGGGGGTCCCCTGGTCTGCAAGGACAAGAAGGAGGACAAGTTCTGGCTGGTGGGACTGGCCAGCTGGGGCCGAGGCTGCGCCAAGGCCAAGAGAACCGGGATCTTCACCAACACCCAGCACTTCCACACCTGGATCCACGCCCACGCCACCCTGAACCCGGCGCCGTTCTCAGCGAAGTCGGAGCCCACCCTGACCTCGGCCGAGCCACCCCAAACGAAGCCGGACGGCGCCACGGCCGTCACCATCCCGAAACGGACCCTGAGACATTTCCTTGGGAAGCTGCTGGAGGTGTTGGAGCTCCTCAAGAGCAGGTCGGGGTGAGCGGGAGGAAGAGCAGATCCCGCTCTGGCTGCGGAGCATCTCCAGCAGCCCCAGCTGGGGCCGCGGCCGTGGGGACAAAGCCACCCCCGGTGCCCGGGGCCCTGCCCTCGCTCCCGCCCTGAGGCCTCACGGATGCTCCAGTTGATTTAATCCTTGGAATAAAGTTGTGTTCCCGTTGAGTTGGGGGTTTAAGGATGGAATTAATGTTAATTTTTGGATTTAATCCTTGGAATAAAGTTGTGTTCCTGATGAGTTGGGGTTTAGAGATGGAATTTTTGGAATTTTTGGATTTAATCTTTGGAATAAAGTTGTGTTCCCCATGGGTTGAGGTTTAGGGATGGAATTTTTGGATTTAATCCTTGGATTAAAGTTGTGTTCCCGATGAGTTGGGGTTTAGGGATGGAATTTTTGGATTTAATCCTTGGAATAAAGTTGTGTTCCCGATGAGTTGGGGGTTTAGAGATGGAATTAATGGTAGTTTTTGGATTTAATCCTTGGATTAAAGTTGTGTTCCCGATGAGTTGGGATTTAGGGATGGAATTAAAGGTAGTTTTTGGATTTAATCCTTGGAATAAAGTTGTTTTCCCTATGGGTGGGGGTTTGGGGATGGAATTTTTGTAATTTTTGGATTTAATCCTTGGCAAAAGTTGTTTTGCTGATGAGTTGGGGTTTAGAGATGGAATTAATGGTAGTTTTTGGATTTAATCCTTGGAATAAAGTTGTTTTCCCTATGGGCAGGGAGCTTTGAGATGGAATTAATGGTAATTTTGGATTTAATCTTTGGAATAAAGTTGTGTTCCCGATGAGTTGGGGTTTAGAGATGGAATTTTTGGAATTTTTGGATTTAATCTTTGGAATAAGGTTGTGTTCCCGACGAGTTGGGGTTTAGGGATGGAATTTAATAATATTTAAATAATATAAAATTTAAATAATATTTAGTAGTGGTTGATAAGTGTATGTTAGCGTTTGGTTTATTGCAACAATTTCTTTTTTGTTTTTTAGAATTATTGTGGTAATTTTTCCTTAGATATTTTCAAATTTTGTTTGGGTTTTGAATTAATTTATGTGAAAATTTTTAGGTTGAGGGATTAGAAAATTTTTTGAAGGGTTTTGGTTGGTGATCCTCGAACCAAACCCGAGCTCCCTCTCCTTCCCACTTGTAAACATGAAAGGCAAAGACCAGGGGTTAAAAATAATTTATTTGAAACGAGAGAGGGAATTAATTATTTGCAGGGAAATTAATTAAGAAAAGCGTAAGACAAAGCAGTGATTTCCATGGAAAATTTATCCCCACTGGAGAAAATGCCCTTATCCATGGAAGTGAGAGTCCCTTGGCCCCTGGATGTGCCCCACTCCCAGCTACAGGAAAAAAATTATTCCAAAATAATTTCCAAATATTCTGGAATCAGGACGTCCATTAATCCACATTTTCAGCCCAATTCAGTCTCCTGGGGAAAACAGGGATGGGACAATCCGGGAAAAACGAGCGGGGTTGGGCCTGGTTTGGGGGGGACGAGGGGGAGCCAGGGAGGGCTGGAG